AATCGAAACAGCCCAGCCGGGCCCCTTTTCGAAATTCGACATCGGCATAAGACTTATAGTGCTAATGTATATCTGTTACTCAGAGGATCACCTCTATTGTCATTTGAAATTTGAAACTAAAAACTTCTCGCTACCACAAAGGTATACACTTATCTGAAACTAAACGAATTCACTACTGATTCAAACTGTATACAGGTAACTGTAATAACATCACCTTTGTCTGTTCCTGTATATCGGCCATTCCTCTTCACATATTTTTGTCTCATATTTTAACAAGGAAAATCGTAGATTTTGTACCTCCGGGTATTGTAATGTATGTTGCAGAATGTTGGGTGCATGTTGGGACTGTTCTTTAAATTAGTGAATGGTGTCTGGGTGTGTGTGTGTTCACGCGAATACCACGTGACACAACTATGCAAGAGGAAGCTACGCAACTTGACACCTGTGCGAACAAGAACAATATGATTATGAACGGGGATAAGTCCTATGAGTTGAGACTGTGCTTTTCAAAAAATCCACCTGTTCCACCTCCCCTCACACTTGGAGGCAAAGAAGTCCCGGTTGTTGAATGTGCCACGTATCTGGGCTTCAAACGTCACCGCAGCCTTGGGTGGGACAGCCAAATCTTACACATGGCAAAGAAAGGCTCAACCCGTCTTCACTTTCTCCGCATGCTCAAGAAGGGCGGGATGCCACCAGAGGACCTGGAAACTGTGTATACGACTCTGATACGACCTGTGTTAGAGTATGCAAATGTCGTGTACGTGGGCTGTAACACAAAACAGAACAACACTCTTGAGGCTGTACAGAGAAGGGCGGCGAGAATCCTACGGCAACAGTACTCAAACAACCCCCTTCTCCACCCTCCAGGACAGACGGGAAACTGCAGCAAAAACTCTGCTCAAGCAAATGCGGCATGTCAGCCACACTTTGCATTCTTTGATGCCCTGCGACAGACACCAGAGCACACGGCGGTCCCTGAGAAATGGAAACCACATCTCCGTTCCGAAGTTCAGAACTGAAAGACTGAGGAAACCTTTTCTGTTTCAGGCAATAAGCCTCAGCAATCAAGATTTGTAAATAGTCCGCCTCTGTTTTAATGGACCTGAGCTACAAAATTTTAAATCTATTTAATTTTAATCGTCAATGTTGTGCTTTTTAATGTGTATCTCTTTTCAAGCTATTTTAACATGTAATCACTTGTGCAATTCAGCCAAGCAATGAATATTGGCTGCCAATCAATGTGAATAAAAAACAGTTTCAGTTTTAGTTTTTCGAAAAGTTTCGAAATGTTTGTAATTGGCTAAATGATCTGTGAAATCACTAATCCCCCCTAGCCGACTGGAGCCCCAAAATAGAAAGGACAGGGGGCATCCCGTGGCGAATCTGGCTGCCCGACCCTCAGCGACCAGCGATCAACTCCAGTGCGCGGAACGGAACTTGCTCTCGAAAATGTATCAAGCCGCTACGCTTCCCCCCGCGGCTGCCATCCCTCCCCACTTATCCCACACTAGTTCAAATCACGTAAAAAAAACCATCAAAACATGCACAGAAGCGTGTTCATATCTTTCATGTTACGGTTAAAACTTAGAACCTCATTTTGAGCGAACGTTACAAACACGAGACAAAATAATATTTTCGAAAACAAATCGCAATCTTATCAGCAAGGTTTCATTGATTCCTGTTAGATTTAACCGGTACCAAACCGCGGCAGGCAGCTAAGAACAGCGACATATTTGCCACGGTTAGCACAAGTGGCGGTGATATATTCAGGTCGTGCCGCCATGTGTTTGTTTAGATATCAGTGTGAATAGCAGCCCTGTTTCAGACACGGCCGGCCTGCCGGCGTTTCCGGCACGGGCACGATAATGAGACGTTGATTGACGGCACATGTGGTTCACATCTGAACAGTTTCAAAGAAAGAATTTATCGACAATGCTGACACCCCTCTGTGTGAAAGGTCAGATCAGTGGTCGCGACCTCAATCGTCCTTATACATGCAAAGGTCAAAAGCTGAGGTCCACTTTCACACTGAAAGGGGTGTCCATCGGCGGTCTAAACGCATCATTTTGACACACTAAAACACACATACTAAAAAACCAAAACAACGTGCACCATCTACAGCCCAACAGCAAAACGTATACCAACTCCCAGACATATCCGTCCACCCAAACGCGAGAAACGGGTGCGAACGCAATTTTCGTCTTCCCTCACAAAACCTCCGCGCTCGGGATGTACATCCCTACCCGGAGGTAATTATCATTTAAAGCATTTTAAGTTAAATGGGGACATCAATGTACGCTATTTCGCTTGGGTGCGTCCCCACTGTGAAATAGAAAAACAATACTGCTTTTCCGTAACAAGAGAGATTAATTTTGTTCGATATAGCTGTACTTTTGTAAATGATCAGTGCAATTCAGTCCCCCTGTCAAGGGCTTCTGCGATACTGTACCTTTTGGAAGTTTAATAAAGCAGTCATTTATTTATACACGGCTACCCAAATGATACACCACCAGTTTGCAATCGTGCGAATATCGTACGACCATCGTACGGCTATCATACGACCATCGTACCACGAGTGTGACCGGGCCCTGACGTGGATGACAGTGGGATGTCTGGTGGACGAATCTTTCATGTTTGTGGCCGGTTGAAAATCCCTTTGATCCAAAGAGCATGTACCTTCAAAGGTAAACACACCGCTTCCGGAATTCCCTATTAGATTGCTTTCTAGGATGTCTTGAGAAAAATGAATGTAGTGTGCTGGCGTGTGCGAGTGTGTGTGTGCGAGTGTGTGCGCGCTCGCGTCCGTGTGTGCACTCTTGTGCAACAGATCTATGTTCTATACTCTCCGTCTCCTTAAGGCACACTCTCCGATCAATACCCTAGCATGTTAAATGACGCGAGGCGCCCGCACTCCTACGCATCCACCCAACTACTAACATCACCTCACAAGTTCGAAGAGTATACGTAGTGGTTAAAAATGATACTTTTGATATACAACCTCAGTTTTCATTATGAGCAACAGGTACTGTAACCCGGGAGAGCATTTCTGGAAGGTTATAATAAATGCTCTCACTTATCCTTAACATAAACCGGTATTACATCGGTTTAGACGGGTAAAACTCTTAGAAAAAAGATCTGGCGTCATTTAGTAATCGGGTTTTCGTCTCGAAGCTGAATCCTAAATTGAATTTGTACAAATCGCGACGACAGGTGCCAATGGCAAATACGGTTAGTTTAGACTGATTGATCTTTTGCGGTAGTGGGTAGACATATGCATGGCTCCCCAAAGAAATCAACCTGGTATCCAGTCTATCGTGGTTGGGCGGGTTTTCTTCGGGGCTGCAGGAGCTCTTCCCCGCCTGCCTGAGCTAGGTTCCCCCGGTGTTTTTTTTCGGCAGGAGTTTGATGTCGTGGTGGGGCAGATCAACTATCCGGCGAGCCAAACTCTATTAGCGTAACACTCCTACCGGGCAGCCTGTTGTACCAGGCGGGGAGAAACTATTAGAGCCCCGAAGACAGCCTGCCCCAACTACTATGCCCCAACCACGATTAGAATGGATACCAGGTTACAACGATTAAGGTTAGAGATATATCACCAGTTTAAAGTGTGCTTACATGTATGTGTGAGTATGAGTGTGCGCGCGTGCATGTGCATAATCTGAATGGGCACCAAAAATTTCACCGCTTGATCGCTGAACAAGAGACTTTAAGACCACGCAAGCACGAAAACTACGTCATGACAGCCAACTTTTTTCTAAAGACCCCTGAACACAATAGACTAGTACTAGTGCATAAACATGACGCAGTTTCTAGCGGATGTTCAAGTGCCACACTGGGTTTACCGTGGGCCAAGTGCACAGGTCTAATGCCCCTGCAATGGTGTTAGGCCACACTGCCTTAATTTTATGGATGACATCTTCTGAAGGCTCCCACAAAATGCTACTAAACTACAGGGATACAAAACTGGTATTGTGAATTTGCGGTAGTACATAGCGACTTTCACGGCAAGCCGCCACATGCTGACCTTTTGCAGCATTTGTGACTCGGCACTGTACTGAGTTCCTGAGTTCCGTGGAGCGTCGGTAGCCTGGGTGCCGTCCTGTGTAGTTAATTACCATAGGCTCCGTATTGTCACTAGGTACATTGTACCATGGTCTTTGGAGGATGGCACCCATGGCCAAGCCAGAGCCTCGGAGGAGGTAATTCATAAAAAAAACAGGCGAAAATCAATGCGCGCGCGGATGTTATCCATGAAATTAAATCAGTTTGGCCTTAAGCTCATGGACGTCAGAGTCGAGAAGTCTACGTACCGCGATGATTGCACCATTGAGTTCAACCCAGGGGCGCAGTCAAGGCGAACCCCAGGTGCAAGAAAACAGATAACAATTCCCCGACTCGAGTCTCGTTAGAGCTTCAAGGTTGTCATTACCAAGAGCAAATGTAGCTCGAACTAAACGACTTTTTGTACGGCTGAGGTACGAGGTGCGAGCTTAGAGCAGCGCACCTTCTGTTGTTACAATGACATCATCTATGTAATAGCCCTTTTTATCGGAAAGTTTTGTCTTACAATACATGATTTTGCTAGTGACTTGTTAAGCCCTTTTTTTTTCAGAAAAGCACTATAGCATAGTAGGATGACTGCTTCTTTGCAATAATTATATAGACATTTTGAAACGACAGACCTTTTGGAAAAATTAAAAACATGCAATAAGGTATGCGGCAAAATGCGCAAATGGTCCCTTTTGTTTTTTGTTAACTATATATCTTTCCTGTGCTGTAACCTGTGCATACCATACTCCGTAACTCATTACTACAAAGGCACAAATACTATATGAAGAAACCATGCAATGTTGTTCTGAATAAATGTAATACCGCAGAAACGTCCACCCGGTGCGCCCCCCACCCCACCTTCCGTGACCCCTGACCCCTTCATTTGCATACCGCGTATTTGATAGGAAGAGCGGTTGCCATAGACGAAGATTGGTAGCTTGGAAACGATGCCTGATGGGTGGCAGTTTGTTAAGCGCAGCAGCGGCAGTAGCCTGAGCGTGAGTTACGGACCTAGCGTGGCGATGTGCTTGCAAGGAGTCGACATGGATGAAGACCCCGGGTCGGGAAGCGGCTTCGTAGAACTCTTCGGCAACGCCACGAACGACACCATCCTGGACCCGCACGGCAGCCCGCCGCTACCGCCGGAGAGTATCGTCATCCCGGTGATTTTTGCCTTCATCTTCTGTATCGGCGTGGTGGGGAACGCTCTCGTCATAGTCGTTCTCCTCCGGACTGGCCGCGAGTTGGAGAACACCACCAACATCTTCATCCTCAACCTCAGCATCGCAGACCTGCTCTTCATCGTCTTCTGCGTGCCCTTCCAGGCCGCCGTCTTCACTCTACCCGAGTGGATCTTCGGACTCTTCATGTGCAAACTCGTGCACTTCTTCCAGAAGGCCACCATGCTGGCCTCCGCCTTCAACCTCATGGCGATGTCGGTGGACCGCTACATGGCCATCGTGCACCCGGTGGACTCCATCGACGTGCGCAAGCCGGGGCTGGCCTGGGCGGTGGAGCTGGTCATCTGGGTGCTGGCCATGGGCGCGTCCGCACCACAGCTCGTCTACTTCAAGGTACTACTACAAAATTCTTTTAGTTTATCATTTTAATATATCGTTACTCCACTATGTGTTTATTTCCATTTGGGTCAACATATTATTAAAAAAAAAGAATTGAGGTGCTTATTTTTTCCCTTATAACTATCATAGAGTGGAAATCAAGTAGCAGCAGGGGCATCCTCAATAGATACAAGTAGCTTTGAACAATGTTAAGATGTGCAAGGCTTAAGTGTGACAGGACGTCGTTCACTGTAATATAACCGGCTGTTGCCGCGCTAAGTGCCTGCGAATCTGGTGTATAACATCTGATTTAATAGGCAGTTATAACGGCTACAAACTATATATATATATAGATATATATTCTACATTTCTACATTTCCCTAGCCTCCATGCTATGCCAAAAACTGGGTGTATTGGGGGTCTTCTTGGTCTTTGGGAGGTTTTATGTGCTATTTTCTGATTGCATATAGACAACATAGCCGGCCTGGTACATACCCCGTTTTTTTTAGAACTTGTCTAATCAGAAAACAGCCGAAGACCACCAAACCCCCAGTTCTATAAGCCTGCTACGGAGGCTAACATTTCCCTAGGAGTTTGCGGTGAATGTACACAACTCGCTTGGCCCTATCCCCAGAAGCCACGTTCGCGTTGGCGGGAAGTCACGTCCTTTTCTTTGCATGATTGACAGCATTGTCCTTGTGGTATTTCCTGAAAAGCATGATTAGATCCTGATCTACTGTGACATTAGGTTAGGTACCGCCGTGGGCCGCTCAAGTTCTCCCTGACGGTTTCATGTTTTGACAAAGGCCGATGTTTTGGTATAATAATTAACTCTTCAGGTAGAGTTTTAGGCTTCGGTTTCTCTTTTTAAAGAATGAATGAAGACCTTTATTTTACACACATACCCACTGGGTTCAGTACAGGTCACAACAAAATGATGGAATATAGATAACGTTACATATATACATCGTCAAGTAGCTACAAGTAAATTCGGCTTCTTCTCGCTTCTTTGTAATGGCAAAAATGTAAGAACAGATATGTTTCAATACAGAAGGTTTGTCTAAGCTCATTAGAAATATACATTTATCCGTACAGCTTAAGTGTATGAAGAAGGGAAACATAGATTGTATCAGATAAAAGATCTACTCTCTCTTTGTGGTATAGTTTACATTCTATTACAAAATGTTTCTCATCTTCGATTCTTCCTAGATCACAGTACCGTCATTTTAATGTGTCTTTAGGAGTTTTTACTGGACTCTCTTTTTGAACTGGTATCTTTTTAAAAAGCACTCAAGCTGGCGGCAAATTGATACTGCTTGCCAATTTCATACTCTCTTGCCGTGTAATTTAAATAGGAGCTTTTATCTCTCTTTTAAGCACAAACCGGTACTCCTTTCCAATTTGATACTGTCTTGCTAATCTAATACTGTCTGCCATCAAAGATATGTTTGAAGATTAATGATGATTTACTTAAAGGGGTTTGCTGTTGAGACCTATTTAATCCTTTTATGTCAAAATCTATTTCGAAATCTTTATGTAACACGATCTCACAACACTTTCCTACCGTATTGCTAACACACATTATTTTGTATTTTAAAGGGAAAGCGCACCTTTCGTAAGCTATAAGGCTCTTTATAGATAACAAAGCAAAGTAAACCGAATAGAATTATAAAATTTGTGTAATTATTGTTACCCAGCTTCAAGAAATAAGGGATGCTTTCAGCAATCCTTATGAATACACTCAGTCAATACATGATGACCTAGTTATGGTTGTTATTGGTGGCGACAGTATAGATTAATCTCATATTTTAGTAAACCTTACTTTATTCTGCACAAATACCCGGTGTTACCGCTCCATTAAAGCGGGATTTTCCGGAAGCCAAATTCCAGGAAAACCTCTGATAAGTCTGATAAGTTATGATTAAAGAACCAAATGCCAAACGCAACCATTACCCGACCTACTTGGTATTTGTCTTAAATCCTACTTTTTATATTGTTCACACATTAGACCACATCAAGTAATTCTTATGGATGACATTAGCGCGCGCTTTAATTTTTGCATAATTTTGAAAACAAAATCATTGCCCTCTGACAGTGGTCAACATGCTGAAAATAGGCAATGATGCCTGTTGCCATGCCGGAACGTGGATGGCAGATAAATATAAAGAGAGGAGAAAAGACAAGGCTCTAATTCTTTTGTCTTTTACTTTCATGCAGTGATGTATTTTGTTTCTTTTATGTGATAGTGGCTGTGTATATGTGATGTTCCCACTGAATCAAAACCATTAGTATACAATGATTGAAAACTGTTATTTTTCAAAGTTGTTCTCTAGTTTCAGTGAGAAATGGATGGTGTAATAGTTGGCAGTAAACTTGGAGCACAATATAGAGGCGTCATTTCTTGTTTAACATGGTTAATGATGTCAACATTTGAAAATGTAGGAAACGCGTTGTCTTTCGCCCTATCGCATTAGACTTTGAGTCTATGGAGGATTGATTGCTTGGAGGATGTCATCAATAAAATTTACTTGCCGTGGCCTTAAGGAAGATAGCACAACACAGAGTGGTAGCGCACTCAAGTAGCTAAGATTAATTTTAACGCTACCACTTGCACATAATAAAATCCTACTTTTCAGGCAGTGATTACTAGTAAGCCCACAGCATATAAATGAGACGTCGTGGGTTAGGCCACACCGATTTAATTTTATGGATGACATCCGCGCGCGCATTGATTTTCGCCCGATCTCAAAAAAAAAAAAAAGATCACGTATTCCGAGGCTCTGACCTGGCTTTAGGCCTGGGTAGTGCATGGTGGTGATAACTTTGGTTGACGGCAGCCAGGCTACCGAAGCTCCAAGACTCAAGAACTCAGTACATACGTACAGCAGTGTCGATTCATATATTCCACAAAAATCCAGCATGTGTCGGCCTGTCGTATACGTCGCTATGTAATGCGCCAAATTCACAATACCAGGTTTGTATTCCTGTGGTTTTGTAGCATTTTTATTTTTGGCCGGATTTTTATTTTTTCGCCCGCGCGCACTAGTTTGGGGGTCTTGAGAGGATGTCATCCATATAATCAAATCAACATGGCCTTATGTAAAGAATTAGGGAATTGTGAGTGTAAGTGTGTTGCCGCTGTTTGTATTGGCAACAAATGCGGAGGCTGATAATTGCTTTATGTGTCAAAGATCGCCGAGTGCTCGGTACCGTTAGGAAATACGAGCTAAATAATTAGCTCCCATGTGACAACAATGTCTATGACCTTACATAAATATATACACGTATTTGCAAGCTCATATCAAGTAGCAGGCGGGTGTGCAGAGAGATATGACTAATTACTATACATGTATATTAAATTGATAAAACTGTAATGTTTTTTATGTAGTTCAAATCTTCATTTTCGTGTACGGGTAGATTCTCGTAATTGATAGATCACCAACTTGTCTTGTTTGTATTTATCTTGGTTTTAGCCACCTTGTAATTATGCTATGTTTTATACTCGTTGTATGTTTTTGAGTAGAAGGTGTTATATAAGCAACTTTTGCTTTTGCCCAATACTCAATAAATACATGTGACTGAAAAATACTAAATTGACATTTATGCGAATTTGTATGACAAGTAAAGCGCTGTTTTCTGAGTTAATTTCAAATTCCCAAAATGCAGAATATACACATATGCAGAAAATACAATGTAAATGCCTTTCTAAAAAACACGCTACTTTAAATAAAATTACAAAATTTCCTTTGCTATGTACAAGCAATTATTTTGTGCAGATCTTGACATATTCAATGAACATCGGCATTGGCCCCCAATGTTATCGATTGCAATAGGCATGCCTTTTCAAGATATAATATCTTAATTAAAAATCTAGAGTGTTTGGTGGGCTTTCCCTTTAATTTTGAGAACGCTTCGGCCTGACAAGGCAACCAAGAAGGCTTTTTTTGTCGCTTGATACATGCTTCGCGCATATCTTGAAATAATTTGCATCAACATGTTACTGTCAGACTTGAATAAGTGCGCATCCACTAGAGATAGAAAAAGGCCGCTATAGAAAACTACCTGTGCACGAGAGATTATGTAAATATTGTCCAATGAATGCAGTGGAAAATGATACACATTTTGTTAGCCAGTGTCCTCACTATGAGACCGAAAGAAACAGATTATTTCAGACAGTTACAACAATCTCTCCATCATTTCGTCATTTAGAAGATCACCAAAAGACTACGTTTCTACTAAGATCACCAAACCCACTAATTATGCAGAATGTGGGACTATTCATTATCCACTGCCTTCAAAGAAGAAGTCGAACCCCATAATAGCTAGCGTAGATGTAGAAGTAGAAGTTTTTTTCCAGACAGATTGTTACCTGTCTCCTGTTACTGTATTGCAACGAGTATTATACTGTACTTGTACAAGCAATTAGCCTTCGGGCATGATTTTGCAAATAAAGTTTCTAAAGTTTCTTATTACAAGAGCTCTTTGTAGACTGTAATGCCCTTTTAATTCTAAGGCATCAACCTTACATTTGAGCGACCAGCCGTTTTAGTGACCAAAATATAGTAGTTCTCATTGACAAAGAAGTGTATTTTGTAACTTTTGTAGTGTCAACGAATCGTTCTCTTAGAAAGAATACCTAGCTAATTGTAACAAACACACTGTCGTCTGGGTCTTTTATTATCTCTAATCTCTAAATTATTTTCAATCACATTTTAGGTTATAGATCATATTGGTGCCCCAGCTATTTTTATTTCATGTCCACTGAGGTCTGAGCGTTTTATATTTGTTACCCCAAACGTTGTGATTGTGTTCTTTATGTTTTATCAACAAAGGGTCCTTATAACCACGGTCCAATTCTATGTGTCCAATATCTGATAGTGCTATACTGTGTATCTTTTACTCAATGGATCACCTTTACTTTCATATGAAGTCAACACTTAAATACTTAAATACTTTTCTGAAACCAAGCGATTTAATAACTGATTTATGGTACTGTATTCAGTTATAATATTTTAATAGCGTAAATCTGTTTCTTGTTACCTTGACGTTACCCATGTGTCATTGTTTTGTCTAATGTTATTCTATGTCTAGTGGTGACGTGAATATAAGCATATTGCTTGAGTGCGTCACCACTATGTATTGCATTGTTTCCACGTTGAAATAAAAAAAAAGAAGTAATAATCGTATGTTTTTTTAGGTGATCGACGGGCAGCACCATAACGATATCGGGGACTTCTGTGTGGAGGAGTGGGACGACCTTGAGGCTCAGCGCCCGGTGTACCTGGCCGCGCTCTTCGTGCTGGGCTACATCGTGCCTCTGGTCATCATCGCCAGCTGCTACACCCTGGTGGTCCGCCAGCTCAACGGCATGTCCAAACACAGCCAGGCCAACCGCGCCAAGAGGAAGGTGCGTGAACGCTTCACAATTATGCAAATAAGGACAAAATTATGCAAACCAGGATCTAATTTACATAAAAAATGACGAAATTTTATAAACCGGCTTCGTTCCATGATAGAACAATTCAAACTCGTGACATATGTAATCAAGAGGAAGGTGTGTGAACGCTTGATATAATATAATAATGAGAGATTCTCTTCAATTGTATACAAGGTTATTTCCCTAGTTTTAGATTTTTAGATAGAATAGAAATTAAAATTCACATTCCTTATAAAACTCGGTAATCCTCGTACTATAAGATCCATCTGTTCTTACATTTACAACTGTCTTATGAAGCGAGAAGAAGCAGAACCTGTACATATGTAGTTTTACTATAGATATATTTTATTCTACCATCGCTATTTGCCGTGACTTGTGCTTAGTTAGCAATGAGCAACAATTTACAATAAAAGTCTTTCATTCATAATAACATGACGATTATGCGAATCAGGATCTAATTTATATAATAAATGACGAAATGCTATAAACCTGCTTCGTTTCATGATAACACGAGAACACGAGACTAGTTCGAGACTTGTGCGGGTATTCTGGCCTCCCCCGCCTCCTTGCGGAGGTATGTGTTCCTACCTTTCAAAAACAGCCACTGATCAATGAATATTCTACTAACTGTTAATCTTACGTGACTGATGAACCTCTTCAATAAAAATCACTCTTACATTTTCGTGACTTAGGTGACGAAGATGCTGATTGTGGTGGTGGTGGTGTTCGGAATGTGCTGGCTGCCGCACCACATCCTCAACATGTGGGTGATCTTCGGCAACTTCCCCTACACTCCGCCGACCTACGCCTTCAACCTGCTCGCCATGTGCCTGGCGTACGTCAACTCCTGCGTCAACCCCATCATCTACGCGTTCTTGTCTTCGGAGTTCCGGCACGGGGTTGGGGAGCTGGCCTGCAGATGAACAGGCAGACGTGTGAACTCACATATCATGCTAAGGTGATATTTCCAAATGCTGAGGTGACATTTCCGAACCGGGGCCCGGCCGGGCAGTCATATGGAACGAAAAGTATGATATAAAAAAAGTAAAGCACCAAAAAAAAGTCGAAAAAAATTATAACGGGAACTATTTTTGTATATTATTGATATAAATTATTGATTTTTTGTTAATCGAAACAGCCCAGCCGGGCCCCGGTCTGAAAATACTACCTCATCAAAAAGGGGCCCGGTCAGGCTGTTTTGTTTAAAGAAAAATCGACAGTTCATATCAATAATATACGCAAATAGTTCCCATTATTATTATTTTTCAACATTTCTGTTCCTCGTCTTTTATATCTTACTTTTCGTTCCATAAGACTGCCCGGCCGGGCCCCGGTTTGGAATTGTGACCTAAGCATATATGAAGAGTGGCGTTCATTGCAAAAAAATTTATCCCAACCGTAAAACAGGCTTAGATTGTCAAATTATAGCCACTAACAGTATATACATATATACCATTGATACATTTTAATTTTGAAAAAAAAAGCCATATCTTCATATTGACAGAGTAGATTACTTATCCATCTTGTATTGTTTTATTATTGTTTGGATTTTTAGGGACCCAAATTAAAATGTGTATACCATTCAAACATCTAAATTTTGAAATTTCCTGAAGAGCAATATTAAACCTTCGAGCATATGCATGTGAAAAATATTTTCTTTCGAAATAGTGAATTACTTCGTATTGTTTAGATTTCTCGGGACCCAAATTATAGCTAATAGATAAATATTGAAACATGTAAACCTAAAAATTTCCAGAAATGAACATCTATTATGCCTACTAACATTTACATATATTTCCTAACGACACAATATATTACGTCTGCATTTTGTATTGCTTCTAAATGAGTATTATACACATGTATTCTCAACTCATCTAAAATGCAGAAAGCAGACACTGTTCTGCCTTAACTTAGACATGTTTAAAGGTCCTTGTTGCATCGTTATTAAATGACAATCAAGACACACTTAACTCAGCTCACGTGCGGAAAGCATAGAATGTTCATCTGTATGGCACGTATAGACATGTCTAAAGGTCAACCACTGAATAAGCGTAATCATGTCATCTATGAGAATAACAACCCTCGTAGTAGGGTACCAAAATTCCAAAGCCCGGTGTTTGTGCAAGCTATATTCAGTGTGATTACGGCCATTATAACAGGTCTCCCAGCTACTTGAAGCCACGCCTCTCCTTAACTACACCCTAGCAACTCAAAATGGCGGATATGCCTGCCGGATATGTCACGTGACCAAAATCCCTTTCTTTTATTGGCTGAATCTATTCTATTGACAGCTATGAACGGTTTGAACAACAATAGTGACAATTAATCGAAGAAGGCTCTGAGCACACTGGGTACAAAATGTAATAAAAAAAAACAGTCAACTATGAGTTAACCATCAACTCAAGTGAAATGGACCTTGACATAAATTGTTGAAAAGGAGAAAAAAGGAACCGTGCCAATTGTGCAATAGGGATGTCCAATGAAAGAAGGCGCTTTTCCCACATGTCAGATGTTATAAAACTGACTACGCGTTAACAATTAAATGAAACGGAGCTCTGGCACGTAGACATGTTTAAAGGTCCACCACTGAATAAGCGTAATCATGTCATCTATGAGAATATCATCTCTGGTAGCAGGGTGCCAAACTGCCAAAGCCCGGTGATTGTGCAAGCTATTCAGTGTGATTACGGCCATTATAACAGGTCTCCCAGGTACGTGAAGCCACGCCTCCACTTAGCAACACCCTAGCAACTCAAAATGGCGGATATGCCTGCCGGATATGTCACGTGACCAAAATTTTGTACTCTTATTGGCCGAATCTATTCTATTGACAGCCATAACGGTTTGAACAACAATAGTGACAGTCAATCAAAGGAGGCTCTGAGCACACAGGGTACAAAAATGTAATAAAAAAAACCTTAGACAAGTATGAGTTAACCATCAACTCAAATGAAATGGACATTGACATAATTTGTTGAAAAAGAGAAAAAAAGGAACCGTGCCAAAAAAGTGCAATAGGGATCTATGATAAAAAGAAGGCACTGTCAGATATAATAAAATTGAATACGCGTTAACAATCAAATGAAACGGAGCTCGACATAATTTATTGAGAAGGAAAGAAGGAAGGAAGAAGAAAAAAATTGAAAGAAAGTGGATTTCGATGGCGGTATACAGTACTGGTTTTCTTTCATTTTCTAAAAAAAATATAAGTTTCTGAATATTTTGTCTTCACTTGTTATATTGTATGTCTATACCTATAGTATAAGTTTGTAAATGAGTTTGTTGTATATCTTCATTGGAAGAATATTGTTAATTGTTTAGTTGTATGTCAATCAATCAATCAATCAATCATGATTGCATGTAAATTATACATGCCTATATTGACACAAAAGCTGTTATACTGGAAGAAATGCATGGTTGTCTGAATTATGTGTGACAACACCTAAGATATAGGTTGGCTATGACATAAAGTTCCTTTGATTATGACGATAAGTGATAGTTTTTCGTACAGTTAGTTTGTTTCTCTTGACTGTATTGTTCATCGATCAATTAATATCATTATACTGGTCCAACAGTTTCACTCTCTATTTCAATGGTAAATGTTTCAATGGTAACTTATTTGCGATTTTGTATGTATTGTACACTTCACTGTACTTTTTCTTGAAGACTTGATATCTATGTATTATCTACACATGTGTTATATTCTATCCCCTGCGCAGCAGGAGTTGATATGATTAAGCATACCTTTTTAGTATGTGATTGGTTTGACGTCAACGGATGTCGGTTGACGTGTGAGTTACAATGTGTTGCCAACACGTATGTGGGGTATTTCGTTACAGGTTGTTAAATTTGCTGGTACGTACTGATAGTTTCGTAACTAAGGCCACAGCAAGTAAATTTTATGGATGACATCCTCCGCAGACTCCGAATCTAATGCAATTGGGCGAAAAAAAACAAGGCGGGCCGAAAAAACAAGATTGCTACATTTTAAAATCTTAACTCAATCATGGTACAGATTGTTTTGATTCAGTGTGAACATCAAATTATACACAGCCAGCATCACATAGCACTGCATCAAAGTAAGAAACAAACATGAAATCAGAGCCTTTTCTTGTCTCCTCTCTTCATAGTTATCTACCATCCACGTTCCGGCATGGCAACAGACATCTTTGCCCATTTTCGGCATGTTGACCACTGTCAGAAGGCAAAAATATTTTCTTTTTTTTTTTCAAAATCATCCATGAAAATTACTTGCTGTGGCCTAAAACCTGTGCCGAGAGATTATATTTATCGTGGACATCAAATTGCCATCAAATATGTATTTGACGCTACGGTGTGCAGATATCTATTGTACAGAAAAAACAGAAGGATATATATCAAGTTATTCTTGTATTCCAGGCACGTGATAATAAATTGACGTTATTAACGTTGATACAGTGTGTGGTCTGCTTTTAGCTGATTCTGTTTTAACAAGATAGCTCCTACCTTTGATCTGTACCAGGTCTGCATCGTTCATAATAGATGAAACGACATGTTTTATTGGCGCACACAGGGCGATAAATGTATAAGCCGCCTGTAGATATTTCCGTTGAGTATTAGATTGTTTCCATTTACAGTTTAAGCGAGGGCGTGTGGCGCTATCGGTAGCGCGTTCGGCCAAGAGGTCGCGGGTTCGAATCCTGCCCATGCCACCGATCTTTTGCCCTGGGAAAGGCACTTTACACGACTTTCTTCACTTCACTCAGGTGGAAATGAGTACCTAGCTTTGGTTAAGGACGTCCCTTAGGATAGGACGTTAAATGGAGGTCCCGTGTTTGGGGAGAGCCACACCCCACGCACGTTAAAGAACCCACCGCACTTATCAAAAAGAGCAGGGGACCTTCCAGGTGTGAGTGGTTCAAACCTTACAGTCCGGTCTTACGCAGCTTGTACATGTACGTGCATGTACAAAACTGGTGTATAACGCCTAAAGGCGGTTTACCGGTTATGCGAAGCAAAAAAAGGGTCGATTCCGTTATCAAAGAACTGCACGTTTTAAATGTATTAGCAAGTTCAGACAAGTTAACATCGTGATGTTTTGTGGCGTAGAGGACTAGGTTTTTAGGATTAGGCTATTTGACCCGGATTTGAACCCGAGTTCTTTTTAACTTATTCCCTTTTATCATTTATTTTACGATACTGTTGTAAATCTATAATTGAGATGTTGCTTTTTATACGTTTTTGTCCCGTAAATGTTATAATACGCTTGTGGCTGGTCATTGACAAGACATTGACCGTTTCAAATGCCAACGACCGTATACTTGACTGGAAAAAAAAACTACAAGAAATTGTCGTGTGGTGTAGCGTGCTTGACTCTGAACTAAGAGGTCCCGGGTTCGAGTCCTGACATTCCACCGATCTTGTGTCCTTGGGAAAGGCACTTAACACGACTTTCCTCACTTAACTCAAGTGAAAATTAGTATTGTCTTGTCCTGTATTCGTCCTTTGCGTTGGTGGCGGAATAAAATAAGTTTATGTAACTTGAGTGTGCCGTCACCATGTCTAGTCATGAAATGCTGGAATATATTTTAAAAAGATGTTGCTGTTTAACAAGATAGCTCCTACCTTTGATCTCACTTCTTTAATTTGGCCTTTAATCTACATCGGTTTTGTATCGTTCTTTATAGAGTAATAAAACAAAATGTTTCATCAGAGTACGCCTGGTAATGGATTTATAAAACGTCCAGTAACATGGGATTGGTATTAGTAATCATCAAATAAGTTTATCTCAAGCAGGTCAAAGAACCCACCACACTTATTATCGAAAAGAGCAGAGGATGTCACTCCCCGTGTGAGCTATTTAAACCTTACAGTCATGTCTCAATCTTTAAAATATGAAAGTCATTAGACAAGTAAAAGTTAGTAAAGAAGAATTAGACTGATG